TACTTTTATTATAATTACATTAGATGCCAAGAGTTTTTGTAACATGTCAATTCCAAGTAGGTAAAAAGTCTTTAAATTCGCGTCGTCTATAGATCAATTAATTAAGGACGGATTTAGTAATATATTGGGGTGGATAAACTGGACAATTAATTTAATGTAATTAATTTCTATGGTAAAAATATGGTGAAGATAATTATCTTATTTTTAGTTCGATTCCTGTTAGGGATGTAGAGTTGAAAGCTGAGGGCCAGCCTGGATAAAAATAACTTTTGAGAGGCAAGGTTATGCGAAATATAGTGTAAACAGCAGACCCACCGATATTATTGTATGACAATTTATCGACAATACATTCATCACCTCAAACGAAATTGGCTTACTACGTCTCAACCATTTTATTGTATTTGAATTAGTACACAGCCGAAAGATAGATAAGCAATAAGCTCAAGTAACAACAGAGTAATTTACATCAGCTAATTAATTATAAAAGGGTATATATTAAGGTAAGTAAGGAACATTTTTCATGCGTGCCAAATCCCTTCAATAATATTTTCAAAATATAGGTTTGTTTAATAATTTTATAAACTTTGTTCAGTCCTGATTTGTATTGAATCTTTTAGAAAATTACAATCTTTATTGATGTCTTTTTGAACAAATTTGTTTTTTCTAGTTATTTTTCTTTCTTCAAAATGGGTTTCCTCCATCCGTGTTTCGTCCTTATAGCTGCTGTTCCACTATTTTTTTGCCTTCAAGTTAACAAAAGTAATGATTTTTAAGAAATTTGTGTATTTCTATCAAATTAATTACACTTATTAACATCCTACTTTTGCAATATTTTATTGTCGATCTTATATTATAATTTTGAATTACATTTGTAATGTGGAATCTTTCATTTTATCTAATTGAAATCTCTTATAATTTTAGCTGATACATTGCATGGAATAACTCTTAATCCAATCCATAAACTATTATTAAATGAGCTAAACCCTTTTCTAATTGATGCCAGAGAACCTGATGAAATTAAAACACTCGATATGATTCCTGGAGCCATTAATGTACCACGTAAGAATTTCTCATTATCTAACATAGAGTGGGTTCAATTGCAAAGGCATTTTCCTTGACTGATAATGAATTCTTTAAAAAATATAATGCAAATAAGCCAGGAAAATATGAAAAAATTATCGTATATTGCCGATCTGGGGCTCGAAGCACAACAGCAAGGCGAATTCTTCATTCTCTCGGATTTTCTAAGTATACACTATGTTTATTAACCATTTTTAGTGTTTGGAGCCTAATTGGAGGCATTCTTTCATGGAAAAATCAAAAATAGCTTGATTATTCAAAAAATGTTAGTTTGGGATATTTATATTTGCAATAGATTTTTTTCTTGACACGTGCTTTTTCTAATTTTTTTTCTACATTAGTATTTTAGTCTGATACAGCTTTATTTTATTTTAGAGATTTCAAATTTTACTGTGGATTTATTTCTTACTCATATTCCAAATTAACTTTGTCTTTTTACCCATGCATATATCAGCCGTTTGTTTCTAGAATCTTTTATCAATAATGATCAATATAAATTTTTTCATATAGTCTTCTCTCAGCATTGTTTGAGTAGAATCATCTATCATTAAATTTTAGTCACAGATTTCGGGCCCATTAATGTTCATACTCTGTCATATTTTTACATCATCGTCTTTTGTAATAGGATGATTTTATATCGTTATTTTATTTTATTTACAGTCTTTCAGCTAATTAACCACTGAACTGACTTAAATTTTGTGAATTCCATTGTACTTCATATGTATAATATTCGTTCATCTATTACACATTTTTTGAGCTGATAAACCGCTGACTATCAAAATTAATTTGTTAATTGATACACTTTGACCTCTTACCCATCACTGTTATTTAGTCCTCAATATATCTGTTTCTTCGTATTATCTATCTTGAAAACTACTTTATACACATTCTGTTATTTGGATATTTGTATAATTCTTTTATAAGTGAGACTTTCTTTTGCTTCTTTTCCTGTTTTTCAACAGAAAAGAATTTTAAAATGTATTACCTATTTGAGAGTAATCTTAAGTAAAACATACAAATTACCATTCAACTGATGCTAAGTTGGTCTTTTTCTTTTTCTCTAATCAATTTATAATCCGCAAGCTATTCTTATGTTGTCTGACCATTTATTCGTTAATTGTTTAAAAACTAACACAGGTTTTTGTGGCCTTATTAGCCATTGTCATGGCTTAATAAGAGGGTATAAGATATTGTTAAGGGGGTTCATTTCATATAAGAGTGAATGAAGAAGCGGTTCATAGGTCGATCCCACCATAAGAGGGCGGTTAAATCCCGTTGTACTGCAGCTGCTTATCTTTTATACGACGTTTAGGTTGATTCCGTCCACGAGAAATGAAGGTCCTTCTAACAACGTTATCTCAGGAGATTTATCGAAACCCAGTTTTTCTTCGTATCTAAAAGTCTTAAGTTAGCACTAGAGCAAGAAGACTACCCGGCTCTATCTTACCTCTTATATAGACTCAACTAAGCAAAATACAATTAAAAAGCCTAGATACATAATGATTTTGGTAATTATTTTTCGTGGTAGTCATGCCACGTTTGTTCGAATGTCCGTCTGTCTATGTTGACATCAATACGCCATACTAGTCCTAAATTAGTGTTCAAAAGACTAATGTCAGACTCTGGTCAACAAGGCTTAATAACCCAGTAGAAAACCCTGACCGTAAGCAAGTATGGTTGAGATAATTCGATGTAGGCTTGTAAGCGTGAAGGCCAAGTTACGAAACCACTTGTCCTAGCCTCTCAGTCTAGGGTCACCCAAGGAAAGGAATAATTAGGGTTGCGTAATATGGCATATCTGGTTTGGTTCTTGAGATTAATTAAACATGTTGGACGAATGTGAGTAAAATTAGAATTTTCTTACTGATTCGAGTAGAGCTGACACTTCCATTGAATTACATATTGCCTTGCTTTCCCAACAGTTGTTCTCATTAAGGGTGGACTGCAGTTTCGACCTCACATCGGTCTTATCAAGACCCCCAGCGGGAATCGAACAGTGATAGTGCAGAATGGGAGCTTGACACGTTAACTACTCTACCACATTGCCACGAGTGCCCTTGGGCCAGAGGGTAGATGTGAATTTATAGGAAGGTCAAGCCTTTTGCCATATCATATTCTTTGGTGGGATTGTGGATAAAGCAAACGTATATTTGCTATAACAGTCGACTACGTTACTTATTTTCGTATTTGAGTAGAGTTTCGAAACTACCAGTAAATCAGTAATATGAGAGGTATTCACCTTCCCGCTGAGGGGGTTGATAAAACCGATGCGAGGCCGAAACTGCAGTCCACCTTGGATGAGAACAACTTTTTGGAATTTAATGAAAGCGTCAGCTCTACTCATTAATTGTTGGAAAATTCTACTACCAGTCCTTAATCACCTTAAACGAAATAGGGTCAATACCTCTCATATTAATAATTTACTAGTAGTCTCGACACTACTCAAATACGAAAATAAGTAAAATTAGAAGCATCCCTAAGAAGACAAGTTAAGTCGTCTTCATTTGAATGGCGTTTTAACGCCCTTTTATCCTTAAAACTACCAACCAAGCATAAGTATTTCTTATTCAACTTTCTTTCACCGTTCTTC